TTTTTTTTTTTTTTTTTTTTTTTTTTTTTTTTTTTTTTTTTTTTTGGCAGGAGAGGGGAGCTATTAGGTGTGCCATTAAGCTATTTGTATGAGATGTCTCAAACTTCTTTCTGGAGGCACTTAGTGCTATGAACTTTCCTTTTAGCACTGCTTTCATTGTGTTCCATAAGTTTGGGTAAGTTGTGCCTTCATTTCATTGAATTTTAGGAAGTCTCTAATTTCGTTTTCCATTTCTTCCCTGACCAAGCTGTCATTGAGTAGAGAGTTGTTTAGTTCCCATGTGTATGTAGGCTTTTTGTTATTTCTTTTGTTATTGAGGCCTAGTTTTAGGCCATTGTGGTATGATAGGATACAAGGGATTATTTTGACCTTCTTGTATCTGTTGAGGCTTGCTTTTTGCTTGATTATGTGGTCAATTTTTGAGAGGGTTCCATGAGGTGATGAAATGAAGGTATAACCTCTTTTGAGTTTGGGTGAAAATTTTCCCTAGTCACCTATTAGGTCCATTTGATTTAGGACCTCTGTAGTGTCATTATTTCCCTATTTAGCTTCTGTCTAGATGATCTGTCCCTTAGTGAGAGTTGAAGTCTCCTGCTTTTAAAGTGTTAGAATCAATGTGTGATTTAAGCTTTAAGAATGTTTTAATTACAAATGCAGGTGTTGTTGTATTTGAGGCATAGGTGTTCAGGATTGTGATGTCCTCATGGTGAATTTTTTCTTTGATGAGAATGAAGTGTCCCTCCTCATATTTTCTGATTAATTTTGGTTTAAAGTCTATTTAATTAGGCATTAGGATAGCTACCTTAGCTTATTTTCTGAGTCTGTTTTCTTAAAAAACATTTCTTCCAGCCCTTTACTCTGAGGTAGTATCTATCTGTGTTGCAGTGGTATGTTTTTGGATGGAGCAGAATGTTGGATTCTGTTTCTGCAACCAGTCTGATAGTCTGTGTTTCTTTACTGGACAGTTGAGTCCATTGATGTTGATAGATAATAGTGAGCAATGAATGTTAGTTTCTGAATGTTAGTGTCTTTTGTTGTGGAGTTGGTGTTGTTACTGTGTTCCTATGCTTGTTTTCTTTTAATTCTTTGTTGTGAAGTTATCTATATCCTGTGTTTTCTTGGTTGTAGTTTTTGGATTGGTGGTTTTCTTCTAGTATCGTCTGAAGGGCTAGTGGTGAGATTATGAATTCTGCATATGTAACAAGTTCTCTAGGTTACTTTTATGTACAGTAAACTTCATGAACGCTCCATTTTATCAAGTAGGTTTATTTTACCAATTGATGAGATCTCCAGAATACTAAAATTAAGGGGAAAAATGAATGGCATAGTCAAATATTCTCACTAAATATATGCACTTAACTTCAAAGATGTTAAATTTAAAATAGTATTCATTCGGACTTAGATTAGACCTCATTCAAATTTTACTCATATTTTCAGCATCTGTAATATTATGGGTCTTCCATAAGAGGGGGCTATCGAATATTTCTTACCTATAAGTTCAACTAGGTACTGTAGAAGGGGATTGGTAGAGTTTAGCTGGCCCAAACAATATATAATATCCATATGTGAAGCTTTGGTACTAGACACTTATAAAAATCCAAATTGTGACCCTGCTGGTGGTTTTGTCCAGGCTGCCCTGGGATGAGCCATACAAACTGGTGTGCTCTGTCTCACCAAAGGCCTCAAGCTGCCATTCTTGCCACTGTGTTTTCTCAACTAACTTTCCTGTTCAATTTAAGAAAGGGTTGGAGAAAGCCGTTTTATGCCTCTGCAAATTAGAACTACTTTATTGTGGTTTTTATCAGTAAAGAAAAAGAATGGACTTCAGAATAGGAGAATCTGCAAGTGATGAACACTCTTGGAGTTGTGGCAGGGAAGTGATAAAGGACATGATTAATTTTAGCAGACACTTACAAGGGTAGTGGTTTTGATTATGAAAGACTTCCCCAAGGTCTTACTATTTGTTAGAAGGCTGACATCTGTTGGCTGATAACTGTAGCTGTGCTTCTACTAGAGACCATGAGTTATTTAGTTCACTGCTTGCATCCAACTTTGGGAACTATTTCTTTTATTTTTAAGATAGGGTCTCAGTGTGTTCTTCAGGCTGACTTCGGACTTACCAACTCTCCCTAGTGCTGAGACTAAAGGTGTGTGTTACCATTGCTTACCTGAGAAAAATTTAAATTTTATTTGATTCCATCTTTAACCAACTAATCATGTATTGGGCTCTAATTATACTTTCTAATCTTTATGTGTGTAACTTTCTGCAAACATTTAGTGTAATCCATTATAATGTAAAAACAATGTCATAGCAGACAATGGTTAATATGACAGCAGTTTTTCCCCATGGAAAATGGGCGTGTAAAAAAAAAGAATATGGGCGTGTAATAGCTACTTAAATACAACAAATACATGCATTAAAACGGAGGCATGTTCATAATGTTTATGAAGGGATACGTTAATGTTTTGCTTAAAAGGAGTTGAAAATGATCCTGAGAGATGGAGTGATTGCGAGAGGAGTTTGTATATGTTGCAAGGCAGAAAAGTCCTGGACTTGGGACAGGTGTCCCATGAACCCAGTAAAGAATGTCTTCTGGATTGTATCAGGCCACTCTGCTAAATGTTTGTGCTTCTACCTGACAGAATTACTATGATTGTTGACCAGCTCATGATCAGAGAACACCTGCTTTGAACATGTATTTATGACTTTTTCTGGTTCTGTACATATTCATGAGGGTGCATGTGTCTGCATGTGCATATGGAGGCCAGATCAACCTCAGTATTCTTGTTTTTTTTTTTTTTTTTTTTTTTAAATAGGATCTCTCATTGTACTAAGGATTAGGCTTGATTGGTTGTCCAGTGTGCTCCAGAATTCAGCCTGTCTCACTTCCAATTCTGGGATCTATAGAGTGTGCCATCAGGCTTGGTTTTCAGATTGATTCCTGAGCATATAAAGAGCAAGAAAGATTTTAATCTACTGAGAAAAATATGACAGTGTTTAGATTTAGAACCTTAGTAAGAAGTTTAGACTGTTTAGAGAAGCATAAGCTCCTATATTAAAGCCATGGCACACCTTTATCTTTATTTTTATATATTATAGAGGATTACTTGCATACTTCTATAACGCTCATGTTTTATGTCCCTTCCATTTAGCTATGGAAACATAAGCAATATACTCCGGTATTTTGCAAAACTAATCACAGACAAATGTGCTGATATGGACAGGATGTTTGTTATTGCATATTATCTTGGCGATGACACGCTTTCAGTGTTTGAACCTATAGAGAGGAATTCAGGTAAGAGACTTATCTTACTCAGCATTTTCCTCAGAACAGATAGCTGCCTTTTCTTTTTGAAAATTAAGGAGTATGATGTGATTTGATAGCCTAGAAGATCCATGATGATAATTTTCTAGCCAATAAATTTCTTACGAAAAAGTCTTAACCATGAAGCCAAACATATAAAATGATAAAGAACAGCTGTAGTTGGTTACTAAGGGAAATTCCCTTTGCCACTTTTTCTGAGGCATTTCTACAGAACTTTTGGGCTTCAAAGTCATGGTTTGACTGCCACTATTCAAACTCACAGCTAATGACCCAAATGAGTGTTCCACTGTCCAGCTTAGAAAATCTTTGCCTGATTAATAAAAGAATACTAAATATATAAATTTAATCTTCAGAATCCATCTTTTGGTGATACTTCTGTTTGTTTGGCTATTGCCAAAGGTCCTGCCCCCAGGCCAGTGGAATGTTTTCCAATGTGTTGATCCCATTGCAGAGGACAGCCATTGACTTGCAAATTATGGAAATGCAGGGCTCTGTTTTTTGTTTCAACATTTTATCTGTTTACAACTTTTATCTGTACTGAAGACTCAGAGAAGAATAACCAGCTCAACTGACTCTTTGAAAAAAAAAAAAAAAAGTAAAGATGTTGGTTTGTATCATTTGCCAGTTTACATGTTATGAATACCCGATCAAGGAAAGTTCCAAGAAACCAACAAGTTAAAAAATAACCTGGCATGCAAAAGTCTGAAAATGTAACAATCAGGTCATAAACTCAAGCTGCTATTAGTAAACATAATTATGAGTAATAAATTAAGTCAGGCCCCAGTGTAATTTGAATAATAGTAAAATCTTAAAATATAAAACTGAATAAGGATGAGCATTATGCCATGCTCTGAATGGCCAACAAATATTGATTCTGTACATTTAGAAAGTAATTATGGGGACAAGAAAATTGCATCATTTGTAAAATAGTCCAATGGCTTATGAAATAATAACCATCACTAAGGACTTAATATTATCCTTGAGTTTCATAGTAGGATAGGCCCCCCTAAAATAGGAAAACTCAGAGACAGGATTTATGTGGAAGAGATTTATTTAACCAACAAACAAAAAAAAATGTGCAGGGAAGCAGAGGAAGCCAAGAGAACCATCAGATTGCAGTAGATTTTCTCTCTCTCTCCCTCTCTCTCTTTCTCTCTGACTGTCTCTCTTTTCCTCTTTTTCCCTCCCTTTGTCTTCCATCTTCTCACCCTGTCCCTTAACATCCTCTCCCTTTGTCATCCTCGTTTTCCATAGTCTCACTATATAGCTCAGGCAGATACTAAAACTCATTATCCCCCTGCTTCAACCTCCTGAATGTGTAATAAATACCACATCTGGTTGCAGTAGTTTCTAATTCCTATGAAGGACAGAGAAAAGGGAGAATGTGGTAAGTCTTAGACCTTAGTGTACTTTTAAGAAATTTCTGATAGGCCTATCCAAAGCTGCCAATAGGAAAAATCCTACAGGAATGGACCAGTCTTAGTGTCCTTACCTTGAACAGTCATTTGCTGGTAGCAGCCTATAGCAGCTAGGGCCTTCCTGTGGTAATGTTCCCTGTAGTGATTGATGTGAGAGTACATTTTCATGACTCCCCACACATACAAATCCTGAAATTCCAGTTTACTGATACTAACTCCAGCAGTTTGGAGAGCTTAAAGAAATCAAGAGCATGCCACAGGCAAGTGACAGCGCCGGGACAGAATGCAGCTCAGTGAGGATCTAGAGCCTGTGTCTTCCTGCCACTACTCCTGTCTGGTCTCATCTGGTCCCAGTTACTTTCATAAGCTTGTAGGTTTCAGTTACATGTCCGAAGATACTAGGATCTCCTGCTCAGCTCTTTCTGTTTTCCAAAAAGTCAAGGAAAGAAAACAAACAAACCAACACCAAGTAGTTATGCCCAGAAGAGAACAGACCAAATGATGAGAATTCTGAAGAAGAAGCAGTATAAGAGCATTACTAAAAGAAACAGAGAATTATTTTACTCTCAGAGAAGAAACTCAAAGGGAACACCCATACTTACTTTTTAATACTTAAATAATCTAATCCTTATTTTAAAAGTGAGGCATCTTGCCCTTAATCTGAATGCCAGTGTGAGGCAGATCTGTGGAAATAAAGCAAAGTAGGTGTTTCAGTCCTGACACATGAAAGAGGAACTTGCTGCCATCCCACAGTTCCAGTTTGTTGCAGAGCGTATTTAGAAAGTCCATGCTAAATGTTATATGGATTAAGGAGAAAGAGAGGAACAAATGTTTGGATTAAGATATTACTCTTTTCTTTAGCACACTGACCCAGGAAGTCCTTGTAATTTAAAAGCATGCAAAGTAATAGATTGACTTTCATCCATGCATATAATATATTTTGACAATATTCATTTTCTCTATTATCCTCTCTTATAGCTCCTTTCTGTAATTTAAAGTCTTCGCCTCCATGGTTTGTTTGGAGTCACAAGATGATGTTTAGTTCCTGAAAATGACATGATTTCATTGTTTATAGCTGAATGAAATTCCACTGTGTTTATGTGTCATATTTTTTCTTAATCTGTTCATCCACTGATGAATCACTTTGGCTGATTCCATTACTTGGTCATTGTGACAAATACGAGTCTTCGTAGTAAGATGACTTTGAACCTTTTAGATCTATATCCAGGAATGTTATATGGCTAGATTATATGCAAGTTCTACTTTTAAATTTTTGAGGAATTATGATTTCTACAGTAATTTACATTTTCTCCTGTGGTGTTTAAGAGTTACTGCAGGAAAAAAAAATGCTGTTTCTTTGCCCACTGCTCCATTCTTCTCTCTCACAATGCACAACATGGCTTTATAATTAATTTGTACAGTCTAAGTTGGAAAAGAAAATAACTAAAGGCAAGTTGTGGTTCTCTTAAGAATAAAACAGCAATTAAAAATAAGGAAATCATGAATTTTTCAGGCATAGAAAAGATCATTCTGAGTGAAGTAACCCAGAAACAGAAAAACACATATGATATATATATATATATATATACTTACTTATAAGTAGATATTAGCCATATAATATGGGATAAACATACTAAAATCTATAGTCCTAAAGAAGCTAAACAACAAAGAGGACCCTAGGGAAGATACTTAATCCTCATTCAGAAGGGCAAACAGAATAGACATTGAAAGTAGGAAAAGAAAAGAAACAGGACAGAAGACCTCTGAAAGACTCTACCTTAGTATCGAAGAAGATACTGAGACTCATAGCCAAACTTTGGGCAGAGTGTTGGAATCCATGGAGAAGAGGGAGCTAGAAAGACCTGGAGTAGTCAAGATCTCCACAAGGAGAACGACAGAAACAAAATATCTGGGCCCAGAGCATCCTGTAGGGACTGATACTCCAACCAAGGACCATGCACAGAGAGCACCTAGAACCCTTGTTCAAAGGAAGCCCATTGGCTGCTGAGTTTCCAAGTAGGTGCTTTTAGTAAAGGGTACAGGGGCTGTCTCTGACATGAACTCAGTGGCCAGCTCTTTGATCACCTCCCCTGTGGGTGCAGCCTTGCCAGGCCACAGAGGAAGACAATGCAGCCAGTCCTGATGAGACCTGATAGGCTAGCGTCAGATAGAAGGGGAAGATGACCTACCCTATCAGTGGACTTGGAGAGGGGCATGGGAGGAGATGAAGGGTGGGGTTGGGAAGGAATAACAGAGGGGGATACAAAGTGAATAAACTATAATAAATGAATATATAAATAAAATTAAATTTTAAAGAAGAATAAAGCAGCTCTTGAACTTTTTTTTTCGGTTTCTTTAGGGAATGCTGGTGGGATGCTCTTAAAAAGAAGTCGTGTGAAAAAGCCTGGACAAGAAGTCTTTAAAAGTGAATTTTCAGAATATATCAAGGCTGAAGAGCTCTATGTTGGTGCCATTGTGAATATCAATGGCTACCTGTTTATTCTGCTTAATGCTGATGAGTATACCTTAAAGTACATGGAGAATAATACAGACAAGGTTTGTCTTAATACAGTTTGTATAATTATACACTTTTTGGTTAAGTCTTGCCTCTCCACCCTTTCCAGTGTGTGTTTCCCTTTCTCTAGGGCTTTTTCTTCTGCATTTTGCCACTGGTTTACATTGCACATTTACACATCTGGGCATGAATAATGGATCTGTGGGACTTGGCCACAGAGCCTATCACAGAAGCCCAGCCCTTGTCTCCTCTGTTTACATGCTTAACTCTCCACTACCCAGCATCACAAATTATAAACACAAGCAGGAGGCAGGCCCAGGGCTGAATCAAATTTCCTGTTTGTTTATTATTATTTTTTAATTTTTAAAAATTTTATTTTGGGGCTGACATCGACAATGTTTTTGAGGGCAATGCAATAACTATAAGAAAGGAAGGAAATCTGGTCACACACTGTGCCATCCCAGTTAACTAGCACAGGGCATCAAAGGAGGCTATTACTAGAATGGACAAAAACTCTAAGGGAACTGAAGAGTTGCTGAGTTTGGTGATCCCTTTAACAGACTCACCTGAGGTGTAAATTAGAATCTAAGGAGAAATTTGCCACAGTGACCTCAAAGAAATGTTTTCTTGTTGTTGTGCTTCATTTTTGTATTAATTTTAATTTTTTTGAGACACATCAAGCCAGATAGCTCAGGCTGGCTTTGAATTCATTGTCCTTCTGCCTCTCTCTCTCCTCAGTATTGAGATTAAAAGCATGTACCACTACACCCAGCCACAGTTTCTTTGTTTAACTTAAAATACTGCAATGGAAAATGGTTAATGTTACCAAAAGTGCTTTGCTGATTATATTGTTCAGTAAAAAGACTGGCTAAAAGGCTCAGTTTTTACATGTATATTTGCTCGGTGTGTAAATTACATGCATTTGGACATCATTGTTTGCAATTTTTTTTAAAAGTCTGGACAATTTTTATTTTAAAGTTCATTAAATCATTATGCATTATTTACATACACACAGTACATTCTTTCTCTTATTTATAAAGAAAGTGCTCAAGGTTGAGTTTCTAGGTGTCAAGACAGAGTTAGAGCCAGTGTATTCAGGGAAAGACCTCTGGAATGAAAGGAGGGAGATCGAGAAGACATGGAGCATGACTGCTACCTGGGAAATGAGAAGGTAAAGAAGAAGTGGTAGGTGGGAAAAAATTTAACTAGTTAGCACAGTTCAGAGAAAGTCTTAAGCAAGCAGACATGGATCCCAGAACAGTGTACTTCTCAGAGAAGTTCATAGTCATGCATAAGTGACAGCTAAAGGCTAGTGGTTCACAGTGCTCTTCTCAGTGTCACTGTTGAGTGCAGTATCATCTGTAGTCACTACACCACCTCTCTGTTTATAGTTTTAGAAATCCAAGTGATTCGAAAACTATGAACCTATACTATATGACAACTCTGGTCTCAGGTGAGAAATGCAATGATCAAAGGAGTTACATTTCTAGAGACTACTAGGAATGGGTTGGAAACTGAGCTCAGCACTAATAGGTGATGGGCTTTAGTTATGTCTCATCTCTGAGCTTTAGTCTTCTTGTCTTTGAAATAATAGTAATAACAGTGCCTGTTCGATAAAGTTGCTGTAGAGGTTAGATGTATTAATTTGTGTGAGGGGCTTAGCCCTATAGGACTCATGGCAAACAGTCATTGTAGCTGTTATAAACCAGGGTTCTGATTCTGAACAAATCCTCTACCTTAACATAAAACATATAGTTATTGGAATTGCTTGGCATAGAATTTTTTACTTCACCCTGGTAAAAGTGATAGCTTTCTAACTGAAACTGTTTAAAATTCTGAGGTTTGATCCCCTTCCAGATAGTAAGTACTGTATAATCCATCTTCTTACATGATATTGGGCATCAGCAGTGGCCTCATATCTCAGTAATCCTTATGATCACAAAGAGAAACAACCTACACTCTACAGCATGCCCTGTTGCTAAGCTTGTAAGTTAGTTGCAGTTGATATTTTTCAGCTAACAGTTTATTAACATATAACTCCTTGTAAATTGATATATATATATATATATATATATATATATATATATATATATATATAATCATGTATGTGTCTTTTGCTTTGTTTAGTTTGCAGTGGTAGGGATTGAACCAGGGCCTTGAACATGCTAGGTGAATAATATTCCATTCAGTTATACATCCAGCCAGAACATAATATATAGTTTAAAGGTATAAAGGCCTTTTCTTCTTTCAGTATAATAAAGCAGGATAAATATTACCTAGTATCAGCATCTCAAGTAAAAACTGCATCATTTTCCAAAATACTCTAAACAAGGACATTGTTAGAAGATAAAGATTAATACACTACTACCAGTCTGAGTAGTCTTTTCTAAAGAGCTAATAGAGCCTATCTTGGAAATAGATGAAAGACAAGGCAAAAAAGGAGATGGTTCCTGAGTCAGTGCCTCACTAAGTGCCAAACCACCAGAATCATTTGATGCTGAAAGAGAGGGAGCTTTATGCCAAAGTAGCAGTAGCATCAGGGGTTTTATCCTAAAATTTCATCTTCTTACTTTTGATCTCTTGTCTGTAGTTATTTACAACCTTACGCTTTACTGTATTGACTAAGAAATATTCTTTCTAAGTCAAAAAGCTAATCACAAAGTAGGTGACAGAAACAATGGGCTGCCTAAACAATAAATATATGTGCCTGTGTAAAACTTTGATAGACAACTTTGCTTTGATCAGTGCTTTGCCTATTGACGAGCATTTCCAAGAGGTCCATCCTAATGATCTAGAGGAAATAAGTGTACATATAGTCAATTTTAAATCTTTGTTCTTTCTATCAGGGCCTGTGAAAATATTGGGGCTATATCTAAGAATTATAAGGAGGTTATATGTAAGAGTTATAAGAAGTTATAATAACTTTGTTTATTAAGCTTTATTACCTGTTACCCATTAAGTTCAATTATTTGTGATCTAGGATCTGGGTTAATGTCGGCCTTGTCCTAAAATGTTGGTTTCTACGTAAAAACATGTACAGCTTATTTTGGGCTCATCATATAGTCTTGCTGGTCTCCATTAAACTCCTATTTTACAGGGAATAAGAAACTGCAGGATGCTCAGCCCTGAATGGAACATTATACCATTTTCCTTCCTCAAGGCTTAGGGATCATGTTGGAAGAGGGACACAGAAAGAATGTAAGAGCCAGAGGCAGTGGGTGACCTGGAACCAGTGACATCTAGGCACATCAGAGCAGCTGAACATATGCGCTCACAATGGTTGTAACAACATGCATAACACCCGTGAAAGCCCAAGGCAGTCCAGATCCCAGCATGGAAAGTGGAGTTGGACATGAAATCCTACTACTAGTCTCATAGCTATTAACAATTGTTAGCTGCTAGAAGGAGTCTATTTTCTTTAATAAGAATAGCTTTTGGTAAGGCAACCCTACTGCAGTGGAAGGTTACACATCCAAAACCCACATCTGTAGCACAAATTGCTCTTGATGGGTTAACAAGAAAAAGAACACAGTTGGGTGAGTAGAGAAAGTGGGAGGACCTGAGAAGAGTTGAGGAAGAGGTGAATGTGATCAAACCACAATGTATGAAATTGTCAAAGTAGTAAGGATGATGATGATGGTCCTGGCAGTGGCAGTGGTGGTGATGATGATGATGGTTTCCTGAAGTCTCATTCAAATGTCTTGTTTTTATTCCTTCAAGTTTCCATATAGCAACTTTGAACTTGCCATACAAAAGCTGAAACAAGAACAATCAAAATTAAGAGAGATCACCCAGGTATTTTCATCTGCTGACTCTAATCACACGAAGATGGTACCTTACAATACATTCAGGTAAGCCATGTTCTGCTAGCAGTAGTCTTCCCAAAGAATAGAAAGAACCATCTTGTACTTATTGCTTTCCAATCAGTTGACTACATGGTATTCTCTTAGAAATTAGGATTTCTTTGCCTTTGTACTACTTAGTACTCAAGATTTGGCTGTAATATCCTAGTAAGTTTTATGCAATTATGTGAGACATTTATAGGTAAGAATGGAGACAAAAGCTAGTTCTTGATTATCAGAGAAAAAGTCATGTGTATATTTCAGTGTTCCTCTATGCTCACATGCATCTGCATTCTGAAAGACAAAAGACAAGCATCAAAGACTTTATTTTAATTTCCTTTCATTTTTTTGTCATGTTATAAACAATAATAGTGACAAGTATCATATGAAATCATGAGCATTAATTTCTTAAAGGTAAAATTGAATTCTGAGTCTTCCCAGTAGTTGATCTAGGCAAATTCTCAAATTGCAGAAACAGAGGGAAATTCAATTTCAGGGTGTAGTACAATTGTAGTATCTCTTTGCTAGAAAACAAAGTGAATGGAACATTTAGAAAATGTAAATTAAATCATGGATGGAGACAAAGAGATTTTCCTCTTTAGGCTGAGAATTCTGGCTTCTGTAAAGAATAGTGGCTAAAAACTATATAGTGTATTGAGCTTGATGCAGTCAAGATGTGGGCTGGGAAATGAGGATAAGAGCCAAGATTGGAGTGACAATGAGGACTTTCCAAATGTATATTTACAGTTGCTTGTTGCATCACTACCTGGTAGCGTGGGCCCATGATGAGGCCTCATATTTTCCACGAGTTCATTTGTTGTTTTAACAGAGTTATTTTGAGAGGAGCTGACAGGGGACATATTTTTATTTTGAAAATTCCATTTTTTTTTACATTTAGTCATAATTTTTAATACAGTTTATTCACTTTGTATTCCAGCTGTAGCCCCCTCCAACATGCCCTCCCAATCCTGTCTTCTCTCCCTCTTCTCCCTCCATGCCCTTCCCCAGTCCATTGACCCTGGCTGCACTGTCTTCCACTGTGATCTGGTAAGGCTTGCCCCTCTCAGGGGACAGTGATCAAAGAGCCCGCCACTTAGTTCATGTCAGAGACAGTCCCTGTTTCCCTAACTGGGGATCCCACTTGGAGACTGAGCTGCCATGGGCTACATCTGTGCAGGGGTTCTAGGTCATCTCCATGCAAGGTCCTGGTTAGAGTATCAGTCTCAGAAAAGACACCTGGGCCCAGATTTTTTGGTCTGTTGCTCCCCTTGTGGAGCTCCTGTGCAGGAGATATATTTTTATTTTTTAGATTTGCAAAATTTTTAGGATCAATGAGAATTTATGGTTCTTTGTAATATGCATCATCATATAGACATGTTCATGGAGTTCTGGAATAGAAATGGAGATAGAGTAAACAGCAAAGATAATTAACTGCTCAGACTGTGAACTAATGGGAAGCGCTGGAGGAGAAAACAAGAAATTTCCATTAGAAATAAGGGAGTGGTTTTGTTTTATTATTTTGTGTCTTTTTACAAAAGCATGAGTTCTCCCAGTATTCACACAAAGACTATGGGAAATGCTTTAGTGAGTTCATGGGGTTTTGGTGGGAGCACTTTGGCAAGGAAGGACATCCAAGGAAGATTGGTTTGCAAATCTAGGCCTCACCCTAATTGTGGATATAATAAAAGCACACCACACTGTTTGATTGGAAGAATGGCCACCAGGCATTGTGGCCTGACAAAAACAAGCAAGCAAACAAACAGCCCACCTCTCCATCCCCAAAATTTCATAGTATAAAACCCAGCTTAGGTTACCACTGGCCTGAAAAACTCCTCCAGTGGCTCTTCCTGACTATAGCCAAAAGTGCCTTGAATTATGGGTCTGTTATCTTTCCATGCTACTGCTTCTTTTTTTGTTTTTTTTTTCTAGCCCTGTCTTTTGGCCCCATTGGCTGCCTTTCAGTTTTTCAAACAGATCATGATCTTTCCCTGCTTTCAAGCTTATACACATAGTTCTCTCTGCCTTGAAAATTCTTACCACTATCCTCTCCAGGAAAAAATTCTAGGACTTTTTATTATCAGAATATTTGTTTCTGTCTGACAGTCCTAAGTAAATATTCACTGTTAGTCTTAGACCTTTGTTTATATTTCTTCACAGCATAATACAGTTTGTAATTGTTTTACTTATAGAGTTGTTTACTTGGAGGAGTAATGATGTGTATATACTTAGGTGTGTTTTCTTCTAATAGAAAATGAGAACTTTTTGAGGGAAAGAACCTTGGTTATTTTGTACACTACAGTATATCTGGGCTTATCATGCAAATCTGGATTCACACACAGTCACTGAATGATATGATCCACTAGCATTATTCCTGGATGCTCTAGTTTAGAGATGGCTGAATGATCCTTGTATTAGTAAGTTTTATATTGCTACAACATATTGCCTGATGCTGCATAATATACAAAGAAAAGAGATTTATTTAGCTCCCAGTTTTGTAGGCTCACGGTATTAGCCTCAGTATTATCTCTAGTCTGGTGAAGACCGTGATCAGCAGAAGGCATTGTGGTGGAAATGTGTGTAATACAGTGGAGAAGCTGGGCTTTTTTTAAGAAACAACCACCTCCTGAGAAATCTATGAGAACTGTATTTATCTCTTCCCTGAAGCAGTGCCATTAGTGACCCAACCTCCTCCTGTAAAGCCTCATCTCTTAAATATTATTACTGTCTCCCATATACTACACTTGGAAAAGAATCAAACTTCTATTGTGGAGAAAAATGGTATCCAAACCATGGCAGTTTCCAAATTAGAGTATAGTCAAGATGTTCTGGTCCATGTTACTTCTTCAGGTTGAACACTGAATTCCTGGTCTTGGAACACTTTTTCCATACTTAGTTTAGAAATGTTAAGTTTCTGCACAGCTTAAGTCTCCTCTTTTGCTTCTCAGATCCAAGCCTGGACAAAGAGAAAGAAACTCCATAGCCAGTCATTTTCAAATTACACCTTAATTTAATGTTTTGCTCTGTGCTTTTCCTAGCTCATAAATGTTAGTTAAGTGACCATCTTTTATCTAGCCATGACTATTCTGGTTCTGACAGAGAGATGTTTCAGTTGGCGTTTCTGTGTTAATTCCTCAAACATCATTCTCTTAAAGTATAGCAACCTGTGAATACAAGTATCTTCAGACTGTCTCCCTATTGGATGTTCCTCAGGCATCCACAAATAACCTTTCTTAAATTGACTCATTTTCTTTATTTTTAAGATTTATTTGTGTATGTGTGTGTGTGTGTGTGTGTGTGTGTGTGTGTGTGTGTGTGTGTGTGTATCTGCCTGCATTTATGTGTACCATGTTCATGCAGGATCCTGTGGAAGCCAAAGGGGGCAGAGGGTCTCATAGAACTATACCGCAGGTCATTGTAAGCTGGCATGTGGGTACTAGGAAATGAACTCAGGTCTTCTACAAGACCAACAAGTAATTTTTGACCACTCTGACATCTCTACAGCCCTTTAAGCTCCCATTTTCTTCTCCCATTAAATTGCACCCAAGGACTATATTCTGGTAAAGGTCACCTCATGTTCTAGGACTAGGAGAGAGAACCGCCTTGTTCTTATTTTTTCTTATTTTTAATAATTTATTCACTTTACATTTTGATTGTAGGTCCCTACCTTGTCTCCTTCTGTTCCTGTTCTCCCTCCCTCTTCTCCTCTATCTCCCTCCCCTATTCCTCGAAAAGGAGGAGCCCTTATCCCCTTCCATCTGACCCCAGCCTATCAAGTCTCATCCTGCATCCTCTTTCTCTGTGGCCTGGAAAGACACCCCCCGCCCCAAGTAAAAGTGATCAAGGAGCAGGCAACTTGGTTCATGTCACAGACTGTCTCTTCTCATGTTACTAGAGAAGCCACAGAGAGACTGAGCTGTCTATGGGCTACATCTGAGCAGGGGTCTAGGTCTTCTCTGTGCATAGTCTTTGGTTGATGCATCAGTCTCTGTAGGATCCTCTGGGCCAAGAACTTTTGGCTTTCTTGGTCTCCTTGTGGAGCTCCTGTCCCCTCTGGGTCCTTCTATTCCCCTAGTCTTCCATAGAACTCCCAAGTGCTCTACCCAAAGTTTGGCTGTGAGTCTTAGCAACTGCTTTGGTCCCCTGCTGGTGGAATCCCCTGCCTTATGTCTTTACTCCATCTAACATTTGTGTCTACCACCCACCCATCTTTGGACTTGCATCTCTTTGCTCCTCTAGAATAGCTCGCTACTTTCTATCTGAAACCCCATTGTTGCTGTTAAGTTCATTTTCCTGAACTTTGGAGAATGAAGTAAGTGATCTTTCATTTAAAAGTTTCATCCTACAAAGTTTCTCCTAAATGATCCTCTTAAAATGTGAATAGGTTTTTTTCTTTCTCTTATGCCTGTATTAACTCCCTGTTGTCTCTGGGACAAATCTTAGCCACTCAGTGTATCATTTGAGTTTGACCACAGTCTGTTTCTTGCCTACTTATTTATTTTCAATTTGTTAGCGTAGTTTTCTAGAAGCCACAATTTCTGAGCACATACTATGGGCTAAATAGGTGTGCTGAAATATTTTACATTTACTTTGCCCTGGAAGGCCTTTGTTGTTGCTACTTTTCTTTCTCCATAGTCCTGCCAAGTACAATAAATTTTACTGAATAATTTAAAAAAAATTACTCTCTAGCAATGTTAAGTCTAAAGCTCATAGATGACAAATACATAACTGATTGCTTTGCATCATGGAAGGACCATCTGTCTCTGGCTTATTGAAAACAGGGAAAACTATCTTTGACACTCACCAGAAAAGAGACTTCCTTATACTTCTTATATCCACACTTTGGTCTCTAAGGTTATTTCCGTACTCTAACCTTCTAAAGCTCTTACATTATAGGTTTACAATGAATTTGTCAGATGATCTCTTCTCTGGGTCATGCATGGAAATGATAGAACATGATACAGGCTTTTAGGCTTCACTTCTTTGACCCCAGTATTCTGGCATAGAGACCT